ATATGGCAGCTGGGAGCAGCACCTGCTGTATTGTGGAAATTCTGTTATGACTACTATTGCAGAAGGAGACAATTGAGTCACTGGATTTCAAATTTCCTCTTCTTTCAACATTTTTACAGAAGCTATAGAAGAAAAAAAGAAAGCTGTTTGTAGTGGTGGAGACTGGAATACACAAAGTCTCATAAATCAAGAGAACCTGAAAATGTGTTAATACACCACAAACTGTTATATGTAACAATATGTCTCAACAGTAAGGTTGTACATGAAAAATTATTTCACAGTGTGCTAAAACAACAACATATACTGTAGCACCGGGAAAGGGGGAACTAAAACTGAGACTGAAAGGTGGTCTAATCAGTCACTGAGGCATGTGACTCATTTTTTACTGTACTTAAAATCTAACTACGAAATTCTAACTGCATGGCAACAAGACTCTGCTGTCTGGCTACTTGGCACAGGTCAGATCATCTTATTCAGCAGTGCCTTCAGCAATCAAAAATATTTCACCGTCATCATCTTTCGAGAGAAAAGCTGGCTAAAATGTATCAGCAGACGTTACCAACATTCTGCAACTTAAAATCATATGTTCTGGTCATGGACTTCTCAAAGTAAAGTTGGTGTGGGAAATCAGTTCTGTGCCAGCTCAGTCAGCAGAATAAAATACAATTCTAAAAATAGACAACTTAGTTATTTGTTGTGTGGCTGTTTTTCAGCTGAAGTGCATGGCTTCAAAAAGAGAAGTGAAGATTTAAACATCCCTTTTGTTCCTACTTCCTGACATATTAGCTTTTTTTAATTGCTTTTAGACAGTATGTCCTGCTTTATATTTAGAAACAAATTTTGTTCCACTACATGTGTGCTGATACATCAATGTTTTCTTCCATTGCATACGCACACAAGCATTTAGAAAAATAGTGCGTAAACTAAACTGTTTCGTTACTCCTATAACACACCTCCAACCATGAGAACTATTAATCACAAGTTGACAAGTTGACTTTGCTTCATTTCAATGTGAACATGGAATAGCTGGAGTGAAAAGTAGCAGCTGAAAGTACAGGATTAAGAGATAATCCTGATCTGATGTGGAAACTATTTGACAACCAGCAAAGTCATTAGCATTCAAAAACTAAAACGCTATCAAGGTTAACCTGCGACACACTGGACTTTTCATCTGTCAGTTCTGGCCAACTGCCCAGATTACTTGTCTAATTTTGGCTCATTCTGGGCAGTCTTTAATTTAGCTTTCACTGACAAATGTTTGGATGAACTTTCATCATTATCTGCCGGGTCACATTGTTTTTGAGTTTGTGTGTGTCTAATGGGAGCCACAAATCACATGAAAAAATGTCTTGATATTCATATTTAGATTTCCTCTGAGAAAAACAGTAGTGGATACACAGCAGAGAAAATATCAAAATACAAAATACAAGTAGCTGTTGCACACATCCTGTGTTTTCTACTGGGTTTTACTGTAGACGGATGGTGGTGTCAATGCACTTTGCTACTGTATCTTTTAACAGCTGTCTCTATTTCCCCAGTGTACATGTGTGTTTTAAATATCTATTCCATAGACTCACATTCCTGGCATTGCTCCGCCTGGGAAAATACCCCACTATTCCTTTGTGTTGTATCCGACCATGTTTCCATACAGTCTTCTGGCGTCTGTATTGGCCTTTGAGTTTATGTGTGGGAGTATGCATGTGTGGTCAGTGTTTTTACTGTAAGCCACCTTCTCAGCAAAATTTCTGAACTCTAAACCAGTAGTTTGACATTTTGCGAGGAAATGCCTTTTTTGCTTTGTTGCCGAGAGTTGATGAAATGATCGATACCACTCTCATGTCTGAATGCTAAATATGAAACTATGGCCAAACTGTGGATTTGTTTTGAAATTGATTGTATTTGTTGAATTTGGGTTGAGTTCCAAATTCAGTTTCTCAAATTCAGTTTCTTAAAATTCAGTTCTTAAAATTTCAATTTCGTCTATCAAACATCCAACGTAAAACTAATATCCAGCTTGAAACTTACTTCACCGCGGTCCGTTCTTATATGCCGTGCTGCGGAAAAGAAATTTGCATTCGGGATAAACAAAAACGTGGAGTTTTATTTACTCAGAAGCGGGTAATACTGAACAGGAGGAATCAGATCATGCAAGCAAAAACTAGGAGCTCATACCTTGAGAGAAGTCTGTTGAACCATGCAACATTTTTCCAGCAGTTCCAGCCACTATGTGTGTGTCAGGTAACGTTTAATGGCTTGCCCACAGACATCTAGTCTAGTTGACCAAGACATGCTGTTGTTGTGATGTTAGATATAGCAACAGGTGAGCTGCTGTGCTGCTCTGGACCAGCTTGTCCTCTCGTTAGCTTTGCAGCAGCAAGAAGCGACAGTTTGCTGCTAACCCACTTAGCTACGTTGCTGTGTCATTGTTCACTCTATATCATTGGATTTGTCATGTTAATGGATTCCTCCAGAATTGCATGAATTATTATGATGCAGAGAAATATCACGAGTTAATGTTGGAAATTAACTCATTAACAGTAACTCATGATATTTTATTGAATTTACAAAAAATGTTTTATATCGGCATATATATCATTATTGGGATATGAAATCAAGATATTAATTTTTTGTCATATCGCACAGCCCTACCTGCTGCACTTCACAACTCACATGTAAGTGTATTAGCATATGTATAAATGTATTAAACCTTTTTTTTCAACTTGCACATGCTGAAACAAAGCCTTATTTAGGTCTGGTGACATGTAAACCAAGATATGGTAGGAGAGACTACACAGCTACTGTTCAATTTCAAATGTAGCGTACAATATTCACTTTGAACATTCCAAATTCAAAAATATTACATTAAGATTCAATTTGTGCTCACACTAAAATAGCTCAATATAGGCCAGCTATTTCTCCCTGCTTCCAGGCTTTAAACTAAGCTAAGCTAACCACCTGCTGGCTAAAGCTTCATGTTTAGTGTGCATTTAAATGTCAGTGGTATTAGTCTTCTCATCTAACTCTTGGCAAAACAAATGAGCAAATTTCCAATAAAAACAAATTTGGGTCATAAAAATGGTAAATTTCAACTTCAGTCAACCTGTCAGTGGCTCTTCATTGAGCCTCTTTATAATAAGAGGCAGAACAAAATAAGAACAATGTCAGAGTGCTAGAACTGGAAAGCAAGAGAGAAAGAATGTTGTAACATTACAGTAATCACAATTTCACAACATATGACTTCCTTTTAAGCAGCATGTAAACAATCAGTTAATGGCTAAATTCTTCCCTAGATGATTCTCACAGTGTTTAAGACTTTGCCCAAATGTATTTGCTGCAGATGTTTTTGTTCCTGCCCGTGCTCCAGCCGACATTGCTATCATCATTTTGTCCTTAGTAAAGATTTTAAAAAAAAGTGATTCCATTGCTTTCATCTTTTCCTACCTGGAATGACTTCGAAGAGAAATTTCCCCCCATCATCGCCGCTGGTTGCATGCTCTGTAACTTTGTTTCCAGGTAAGAAAATGGTTCCCTGTGGATAATGAAGAACAGACTGATCAGAAGAAAAATCCCAAACAGAGTATTATGCTTACATCATTAAACTAAATGTACGATGTTAGATGAATGTTAGTTTTGATTGTAAATGCTAAATAAGGAATATTTACGTTGAATAGATACATCAAAATACTTTATTTTCACTGTATATGGTGCAGAATCTAATGTAGTCACAATGTTTTATAAATTTTTTTTTTTTTTTTTTTACAATTAGGTTTCATGTTAAAATTGTGCCTGGTTTAATGGTTTAAGGCACACAGTCCACGTGCATTAAAAACACGTTTAAATGTTACTGCACATTTGCCATGTGACCGAGAATGGTTCACTTTGCACAACCTTTCCTGCTGTTCTCTTGCAGCAGCACTCCTGAGCTCAGCAGCACACCAACTCTCATACATTATCACAGGAAAAATATGTTTAGAAACACTGACATGTTTGTCAAAGGATTTGCATTGTCATGTGTATCAGCATCTCTGCCGGTTGAGAAGGTGGCGTACAAGTCCCCAGGATAGGTCTGGATGATGGAGCTGACCTGTTATAAAATGTGGCAAAGCGGTAGCATTATAGAGGATCACCATCTCTCTGGCTCAGCTCTGTCCACAATGATACATCATCTGTGTGACACCAAAGGCCAGAGATTCTCTGCTTTAAATAGCAGGAGCATCAGCTTTCCAGAGTCAACCTCTCAACAACCTTACTGTCGAGACTTACTGTCTGTTAGAAAGGTTGTGGGGCAGATCTATGTACCTAGTCTTCAAAGAGCATCAAGGCAGACACACTCATTGACTGGACCAGTGATAAATGATGACCCAGGATATTTTATAATATTAACCTCAGAAGGGTCACAGTGCGTGTCTGCAGGTGCCAGTGAGTATCTGTGGGTCATGTTAGTGACAGCAGCGGTGGAAAGCAAGTGTTTTTCCTTCACTACATTTCACAGTTAAATTGTTCTTCCTCTACATTAATTTGTTAGTACATACATAGTTATGAGTTACTTTCTAGGCTGATAAACATTTAGCCTATAGAACATATGATCACCTCATAAAATATGATATGACATTGTCATTGATTCAGCTATACCCAACAAGATGTAAAGTAATATTAGCTCCACATCAACCAGCTACATTAAAATGCTGCTTGTATTTTAATGCATCCATAATAGTAATCCATGTGACACTGGTAAGGGCCACTCAGCTGTCTCCTTAGTTCTTTTATTTGATACTTAAAAAGGTGGAGTAAGTGCTTCTGGAGAACTCCAACACCATGACGAATACCATGATATAGAGCAAACAACAACACAACAAGTAAGGTAACTAGAGCTTCCGCTGCAAAGCTAACATGCAGAGAAGACAATGCGGTCCAAGAGCCAGCACACTTGTCCCAAAATACAAAATTCTACTTAATTCAATTAAATTTGTCATATGTCATCTCATTTCACTTTTCATATAGAGGAGGTCTAGACCATACTCTTTATAAAATAACGAAATATTTATAAAGGGTCTTAGTATTAGTGATAGACAATTTATTTTAAATCGTAAACATCACACACTCAGGCAACCGTAACAAATAAATTACCTATTTTAACTTATTTATTCTAATTAGGTTGACTGTAAAAAAGGATTACAACACAACCAGCTGCAGTGACCCTTATGCATTCAAACAGTGAATTGATTAACAACTCAGACATTACTGGCACAATGCAGCATCTGACAATCATTAGAGTGCCCTCTGTCTGGGTTAATGGTAATGCAGACAAGATGTGTATTGGCGGCAGTATCAGTGTTAAGCACCCACACACATGAGGGGATCTGGGGGGAGTCAGTTTCCTTCATGCTGAGAGAGAGAGCTCTTTAATGAGCCATAACTGTGACAACCGGGAAGTGGAAACCCTACCTGAGGCCCCAGATGAAGTGCTTTTAACGGGGGTAATAAAGATGGGACAACCATGCTCCAAAGTGGAGGAATGAGGGAGAGACAGAGCTTGTTTGATGTGGTTGTCAGCAAGAGAATCTACTCAGCTGCAGTATCTTGGGATTAAGAGCTTCTTTGAAGACTTTTTTCAGTGAACATAGAACTTATTGTCATGCACATTGTACTGATTCCAAGGAAAAAGGAGATGACTTAAAGGAATTGTGTGGGAGAGATAGACTTAATAAATGTATGCTTTTCGGACCGTATATATTCTTAAAAAAGACGAAAAGGACCCCCATACTGTAAAACCACAACACCACTGATATTCCTCTCCATTTCTGAGCCACAGCCGCACTTTCCTTGCTGACATCCTCCCTGGTGGGCTGTTGTTTGCTGCAGACAAACCCAACCACAGACAGAGTAATATTTACCAAGCAAACAGTATGGTAGCTTGGCCCAACCCAACGGGGCAAAAAAACCCCAACCTATTTGGGGTTTTTTTTTGCATTTTTATATTGTCGTTAACTAGGATGAGGTCATTTTTGGAAACAGTGTAATGACACAAACCCAATAATCTTTTGTTCTCAACCAAAAAGCTACACACGTTGAAAACAAACGTCTCAGAGAAATCTGTTTGAGAAAGGAGACAGCAGGAGACCCAAGCTCGTAAGCAGCAGCTCAGTCTGTCAGGGGGCTGTTTCTGAGGTTGTGTCCAACGGTATGCTCCAAATTAAATCAAATTTGGGGTGTTTTCTCAGACTGCAAGAAAATACCAGAATACTGACTGTGACTCCAGCTCTGCTCATTTAATGGCATCTGCACAAGTTTGTCTGACCAGCCTGCACACACTGCAGCAATCAAATCCAACTGAGATTTTCTTTTTGGTAATAAAACAAACATTTTACCTCTCTGAACATTCAAGTTTGTTAGGAAATGTGCAATAATGCACCTCATTGTTCCCTGCAGCCTTGGATGGTTGATTAACTACCCTGTGGGTCACATAGGCCTTCTTAATAAAATGTTAGGAAAACACTGTGGGACCAGCTCATACAACATGATAAGCTATCCATTATTAATGTCTAAATGTTGTTGTAATGAGTTGATACCGTTAACCTTGTGTCCACTGCATGATAAAGGAGATGCCCCTAGCATTGACCCCATTTCCACATATAATCACATGATCCATCGTAATGTAAACTATTGATTATAGTCACTTTAAGAATAAAAATGACTACGCCACTGGAATTTCTCCTGGAAACTATATCTCTAGCATGATCAACATTTGTTCAAGGCAAGTAAAACAAATTAATCAACAGTCAGGGATAGTTAAGAGATAGTCTTAGTTTGTTAAATAATGATCTGGTTTAATGAATGAGTGTGAAAAGCAGGACATGTGGCAAGGTAATAAATGCAGAGCAATATATTGTGGGGTAGAAATTGATTTCAGATTGCAAACAGATAAGTAAATGCTCCTACTGAAGTCAACTAACCAGAAGTTATTGGTGTAACAGGTCATTAAAGTGCTTGTTAAACATTGGCTGGTTGATCAGTAGTCCTTTTATCCAATAATAACTGTTCCTGAGCTTGAGTGACCTCTCAGGCACAGGAAGTCAAACTCAGTGAGACCTGGAGAGGGTATACTTTTTGCCTGTGGACTATATTAAGTGTGTAAGTACTGTCTGTCTATGTGTTCCTTCTTTTCACAATCTGACTCCATATTTTTGGTTGTGTGCCTGCTATAAGACCTGTCTATTCAAGTGGCAAAGAGTTACTAATGGTTGTTTGCTCTCATTGCTCCACTGACTCCATCCATCCAATAAATGTCATCATTATTTCACAGTTATAAAACAGGTAGTTCTGGTCTTCAGCTCTGACTGGCTGAGTTTGTTCAAAAGCCTTTTCCATTAATTTTTAGTTACTGTGTGAATTAACTGTGGGTGAAACATGTGAGATGTTAGGCACAATAAATGATGATACAGAGAAGACTGAAATTAACAAGAGGGGAATTAAAATGTTGGGGAAATCACAAGGCTGATGGCATTAAACAGATTATGTGAAATGTTTGCTTAAACAGTGACCAACGATAAATGGGAAAAAACTCAGCCTTGCTTGGAGCTGATATGATTGTTTGAACATGTAATGCAGGTAGATTTTATGAAAATCACACAATCTCTGGCACCAAATACAAACCTAGCAAATAATTTTGTAATGTTTAGCAAAATCTTGCACAGAGAGCTATAGAAACAGACAGCAAGGACAGGTATGGTCTGAAGCATGCTTCGTTTCACACACACAGAAAATCCATCAAAAACTACAAGATTCCTAAGACAAAAAACAAGAAAGCCTATGTGCAAGCAGCTGGAAAACACAAGGTGCCCTGTCACTTTCTTGCAGGAATATCTGTCACTGCTGCTTTTATCCTTATCCAAGAGGAACTCCCATATTATAAAATATCTTCCAGGACTAAACCAGGACTGCTTTTTTGAAAAACAGTTTGAATCTGAGATTTCTCAAATCATGAAATATAAGGAAAGATAATGGAATGAATGATATGACACTGTACACTGCTTTTTTTCTTTTGAAGAGAACATAAAATGCCAAAGCAATTACTGTGAAATCTCATGAAAATAAAAGGATAGAGATTAAAGGGCACACAGTCCTCTGTTCAAATGTAAAACCTTAAGAGGCAGAATCGAATGTTTCAAGAATGTTATTAATTTATGTAATTTCTCTTCCCTGGTTCATTTTCAAAAATGTGATAATTTTTTACCTTTTTTACATGTACTTACAGACATTTTTAAAAATAATAAAATGCACACTAATCATGCACAGAATATCTCACTAATAAAGGTTCCTCCTCTGCAGGGCAGAATGTCTCTCAATGTCTTTTTAAAAACTAATGTCTTTATGTAACCTTATTAAAATCAGTGCTCCTTTGACTTTATGTGCTTTATGGATTTATCTTCTAAGGCCAATAATATAAAAAACATGTTCAGATACGAAGCTCTGTGCCATTATATTGGCCTTCTGTATCACATAGCATACTGAAGGCGATGTCTGAAGTGG